GCACGCTGATCCGTATATGAGCTATAGTCTAAACTCCTAGTATCCCCCTTAATAGCCCCTATAGTAGTCCCCTATATAATCCCCTATATTACCCCCTTTAAGGAGTTTAGACTATAGCTCATATGAACAAAAAGAGCGCCAGCTGAATTTGAAGTCTACTCCTGTGCTCGTGAATATTGATCTGATATGGGGCTGCGCAAGGTGCCGGGTAGTTCTGAGGGATAGCGGACGATACGTATATGTAAATATATACAGATATGTACAGCTACATGTTATGGAACGTTTCCAAAATGGTCCGGCTAGTTCAAGCACCATCTTCTCGCATCAAAACAGAAGGCCAACAAAGCAGGCAGCCATACGCAGTGCCACTAACAAGCAAAGCACGCTTAAAGATTGCGCCGAGCTATGCAAAAACTTTCGCCACGGGCCTGGTCAACCACCGCATCCCGGTTGCCGCGAGTGAGCTTCACCACGCCTTCAACACCAGGGAACTCTTCAAACATTTCGGTTTAGGGTTTTCTAAGTAGGTCCTGGGGCTCCCAGTTACCTAGATAGTAGGCTACTGGGCTATGCAACTATCAGGTACATGGAACCTGGAACCCATTATTTAGGTCATTGGAGCCCTAGGGTTGCTTTAGAAAATTATGGAATGGTATGCGGGGCCTGTTACTCTACCTACATATCTTGCTGGGGATACGGGTGACGCATCAAGAAAAATTGATTCAAGAATTGCCTAAGCAATCCAGAACAAATGAAAACTTGCGCACGGCATCAAACAATAATTTGATAAGCATCAAGAAAAATGAGGATAACTGTACTACAGATTAGCAAGAATAAAGTGAACGGGGAATAGTAGTACTCACAATACGAATACGGATATTACGTACACTAGTAGCAATACCGATAAGAACAATAGTTGGAAAGAGACTACGGCTCAAACAATTTCTGCTGCTTGGCAAATTATTGTTGATGCCTGGTAAATTTTCTTGATGCCTTATCAAATATGCCGATGCTAAGGCCGTGCGCGGTGAGCCACACCAAGTCAGTGGAGCTGCAGTTGGAATACTGGTCTCGGGGGGAAGGTGGTCTAGGGGTCTGGGGCCTGAATGAACCTCTCCCCTGAATCCTCTTACACATTCCATTAATAAAAGTGGAACTGGGGCGGGAGGTTGGGGGCATTGTCCAGGAAATGTGCCAATTACCATATGGGTTAAGTTTTGAAGGTCAAGCTTCGGATTCAGGTAATGTTTAGCATGATTTTCTTGATTGCACCTATTACCACCTTTTTGATAGCGGCAATCATGTTGCTGTTCATGGGGCTGCTTTATTGCACTAGCCCCCCTAAACCCTAAACCCTAAACCCTAAGCCCTAAACCCTAAACCCTAAACCCTAAACCTTGGCCCAGCAGCGTTGGGGCACCTGGGACCCTAAGCCCTGAGCCCTAAACCGCTTGTCCAAGCCCCGCACGTGCACCCGGACTCTTCTTGATGTTCTCTACAGCTTCTGGGTCACGCTGACCCTTTGCCTCAAGTTTATGCGGGGGATTTCACTGGCAAAATGCATCTGTAAGGGTTTCTCAAACAGATTGCACCCGAAAAAAAACACATAATGTGCAGGCAGTGTAAGTGGATTGGAAGGTCCCGGCGTTCAGATGGGAAAGCTGAGGCGGGAACCGATTGCACCCCAGTCGCCAGCACAGTGTCCTTGCTATTGCCAGGTCAAAGCTGTGTGCAAGAAGTGATATTATGTATAGCGGCATGTAGGGGTATATGTATATGTGTATATATATATATGTGTATCTCTCTCACTCTCTCTCTCTCTCTCTCATTGGGGTACATAGAGATTATCTAGGGATTATCCAGGGGTTATTCAAATTTAGGGCTTAGGGGCATTACGCCCAATAATGGAAAATCAAACGGAACAGCGATGGAAACAACGGTATACATCTTTGGCTTGCAGTTCACTTACCACTTGTTACTGTGGAATGGAGAAAAAGATCCCTATAGAATTCCCTACACAACCACCATTAATATAGTACATAGCAATTCCATTTTCTTCTCCATTTCCTGCACCCTAAGCCCTACACCCCTACTAACAACCATTAAGCCATGGCATGCCCCTGAGAGTGGGACTACATCCAACACACGAGCGAGCGCTTTGGGGAACTGAACGGACAGCAAGGCCATCTTGCCGACCTCGCACAACATGAGCCATAGTCTAAATTCCTAGTATCCCCCTTCATATCCCCTAGGGTTTAGCGTTTGGGGTCTAAAGTCCTAGCATCCCCGTTAATGTCCCCTATAGTAGTTCCCTATATAATCCCCTATAGATTCCCCTGTAAGGAGTTTAGACAACAGCTCACATGAGAAAGCTACTGCTCGGAAGACAACTTGCGGCCAACGCAACTGTAACAACAGCAAAGATAATAATGGCAGTGATAAGAAGGTCATAGCAACCGTAGCAACGAAAGCCTTGATGCTACTGAATGGAGCCATTGATAGTGCGAATGTTTAGGGCCATTATTCAGAGATCCCGGTGTCAGACAATCCAGCTGAAGGCGCATCCTGCCCTGCCTCATCTACAACACAAAGTCGAGGAACAGGTTCTGCATCCTCCTCCTGTCCCATACTCTGAGGAGGGTTTTGCCAAACAGGACAGGGCTCATCTGGACCTTTCCGGAAGACATCTGAACTGTTCTTTGGACTGTGTCTGGGAGATCGCTCGAGAGAACTCGTTTGAGGCAATCTTGGGGTGTGATATGCCATTCACGCTTCTTACGCTCTGGAACGGCCCTTCTCTTGGTGGATAATTTCGTGCAGATTTGAGAAGAGGAGCTCTGCCTCAGCGAGCTGAATACGAGGAGTGCTTTCTTGGTGGTTGAAC